TTTGATTTTGATTTTGATTTTGATTTTGATTTTGATTTTGATTTTGATTTCTGCAAACACAGGGCCAGCACCAGACCATTCTCTGCGTGTTGCACTGCATTGTGAACCTGCAGCCCATCCCTGCGGATGTGGAGGAGGCCATCCTTGCCCGCGCCATTAAAGCCTTCACCAAGGTGGGTCACACGCTGCAGGGGGCATAATCCAGAGGTCACTCACCTGCTCTGAAATAAAACTTTCAGCTCTGTTTTTCCTTAATGGAAGTGTGTTTGACATTTCTCAAATGTAGTTGTAGACTTTAGCCAAAATATATTAATTTCCCAACAGTGCTATCAGAAAGAGCTGAACTTTTTGAAGAACGTTGGAACAGAGAGCTTTGATAGAGAGAGAAACACTTGGATGTTGAGAAAATACTTCTAAATCACATGCCTGGTAGGAGTCAGAGAGTCTTTTCTGGTGGAGGAGTTCTACCTTGGGCATAAACAAGTAACCGGCCCCTGAGAATCCAGCATCCGCCATTGATGGCCCGGTCCCCTGTCCTGTTAGCAAATTTAGGCAGAAAGTGAAAGAGGGGCACCTGGATGGCTCGGTCGGTTAAGCGACCGACTTCAGCTCAGGCTATGATCTCACGGCTCGTGAGTTCGAGCCCCGCGTCAGGCTCTGTGCTGACAGCTCAGAGCCTGGAGCCTACCTCAGATTCTGTGTCCCTCTCGGTCTGCCCCTCTCTCGCTCGTGCTCTCTCTCTCAAGAATAAACATTAAAAAAAAAACTTTAGGGGCGCCTGGGTGGCTCAGTCGGTTGAGCGTCTGACTTCGGCTCAGGTCATGATCTCACAGTTCGTGGGTTCAAGCCCTGCGTCGGGCTTTATGCTGACTGCTTGCTCAGAGCCTGGAGCCTGCTTCAGATTCTGTGTCTCCTACTCTCTCTGCCCCTCCCCCATTCACACTTTGTCTCACTCTGTTTCTCAAAAATAAATGTAAAAAAAAAAAACTTTAAAAAAAAAGAAAGTGAAAGAAAAGGTTCCTTCATATATACGCCCTTTTGGCTTACAGCAGTGCTTCCTGGCTGAAGCAAAGCCAGGTCCATGCCAGGGGAAAGGGCACCCCTTACCCTGCAGCCTCTCATAGGCCATGTGGAAACGGCCTTAAACAAAGAGCCCCGCTTTTCAGTGACAGCATCTGTGGTAAATGTTAGTGATGACACTAGTTATGTTTGTCCGCGTTCACGGCGTCTTCCCCTCCGCTCTCCAAGGTGCTGTCCTTCCTGCAGCTTCCTCGTTACCGGTGGGGTCTTTGTGGCACTGACCACCCTGGTCTCCTGGTCTCTTGTTGACAGTTTCCAGAGCCAGTGGCTCAGACCCAGGGTGCATGGCCCTTCACATCTGCATTTATGTCTTCATGGACCGTGAGGCCACCTGCCCTTGGGTGAACAAGGCTTAGCTGGATGCTTAGCAAAGTGAACAATTCAAACCACTACTAAGGTTAATGAGAAGTTTTTGCAGGTAGGATAGACGATATGATTTCATTTCTGAATTTAACTGAAAAAAATTATTAGTGTTTGTTTCTCTAAAGGTGGTGGGAATTCTGTACAATTTCTGTTGGCCTTTTAGAGGATCCCAATGAAAAGTTAAACATAGGAGCTGTTCCAAACCCAAGTGTAAAGAGGTTGGGAGATGTTGGGTGTCTCCCCGGGTGCATGGTCTTGTGAGCAGAGGCCCTGACCGCTCTTGTCCAGGGCTGGCTCTTTGAGGAGAGCTGTGCAACAGCTGCGGCATATGAGGAAGGTCCTGGTACCCTTTGGCCAGAGCTTTCCAGGCCCGCTGCGGCCCCTCATCAAACACTGGGGTCACCTAAGCCCGGAGTCATCGGCTATGATGCAAAGCCCTTGTGTGCGTGGCCTCCGCCTGGGCCGCTGCGCATCACCCCCACCTCGTCGAGGATGGGGATGTGGAGGGCAAGGGGACCCCGTGATTGGGACGCACACGCTGTCCAGAGTCGTAGACTTGTTTGTCTCTGAGCCAGTGGTCTTGTGTCCACAGATGTGCTAGCCGGGCACAGCCTTCCTGCACCCCCTCCGGAGGAGGGGTTACTGACTGGGTGGCTCGTTTCTGTAGGTGTGGGTGTGGGTGGAGGTGTCCCGTTCTGTGTCCTACCATCACTCGACCCTGTGTCCTGGTGAACATGGGCAAACAGTCCACGAGCATGGACACGGTACCTCCCCACCAAGGGGTGAGCTGGCTGGCTTCTGGGACAGTTTTCTGTGTGGCAGATGAAGCCGCGAGCCTCTGCCGACTCCTCCCGGAAGTGCTAAGGAGGGGGGGGGTCAGTCCCGTGTCACGGAGGTCAGCTGTGAGCTGACGCAGCATGGCTGGCAGGTGGAAAGCCGGGTTCCCTGTCGGGTGGCTGCGGTGCGGCCGTGCGGCTGTTTTGCTCTTTCCTGTGCCACCAGCGATTAGTGTCAGGTTCACCACTCCGCCCTCGTGGCTGCCCTGCCTCAGGACAGCCTGTGAGTGGACCTGTCCAGGCGCTGGATTGAATCTTTTGTTTTCGTTCATAAGTTTGCCTTTGGCACAGTCAACAGTTCTAATACAGTCTCTCGGTTATAATTAACGTGGGACGTGAGTTGTGTGTGTTTAGTTGAATATAACTGTGTTTGTAAGCCAGGTTTTCTCCACCCCCTTTCTTTTCTCCCAAAACAGGCTGATTAAAATTCTGTTACGGTGTCCTGAATCCATATATTCTTTGTCACCAGGTTAATTTTGACTCTGAAAACGGACCAATAGTTTACGACACCCTAAAGAAAATATTTAAGCACACACTGGAGGAGAAAGGGAAAATGACAAAAGATGGCCCTCAGCCTGACGTTTAGTGACGCTTCCCCACGGCGGACACTCCAGACCCGGAGACCCAGGCGGCGTTCGTGCGTACAGATGAACAGGAAGGCGGTGTGGAGCCGTTTCGGGTCCCAGCACTTTATCTCAGACGCTCTTGGTTTGTGCAAAGAATACTCATTTCTGTTGCGAGCGATTATTTATTTTAAAATACCCTTGAGCTACATTTTTGTGTTGAAAAATTGCCATAATGTTGGTGCCACTTTCTTGTATTTATTTAACTGAATTAATATTGTGCTAATATGTTAAGTACATGGTGTTTACATCTTTATTCTTTTTGACGTTTTGGAAAAAGTTGTAATTCTTCTTTCCAGAACAGCTATTTTGTTGATGGAGCTCTTGCTGGAGTTTTTACCAAGTAGGCAATTTTAGCAGTAAAACTTCACTGTGGATCTGTGAGCCTGATCCATGGCCTGAGGAAGTCACGAAGTGTCTTCAACTATTTTGTATTTGTTAATAAGAAGGCGATTGATAACATTTTTAAAGGATTTTTTTAATTTGGAAATTTTTTGTTTTTTTCTTTTTATAAATGTGTCAAAGGGTTTCAAAGTATATTATTTTTTGGAGTGATTTAGTTTTGTGTTAAGGGTGGTCGTGACGTGGTTGGATTTTTTTATTGTAGGAAGTAGACTCGGGCCTCCAGATGGCCTTGCTGGTCTCTCCGCACATCCAGCCTTACTCTCTCCAAACAGCGTCTTCACAGGAAGTGGTCAGGCAGACCCTGTGCTGACGGTGTGAGGGCCACGCAGCCCGTACCTCCCACCTCCGTCCTTCTGCAGACCCCGCTGCCCTAGGGCCCTGTCTTCTGCCACTTTTCACTAGGAAAATTAAGATTCTTAAACTGAAATGTGAGCACGTAGCCTGCATTCACCATATGGGTTTTAGTTAAGAAGTAAGTAAACTATTTGTTGCCTGACTAGTAACTGCCTAACGGGTTCTTTGTGGACCGAGCTGTCATTCAGCAGTTGAGGCTGTAACAAATGTGTGCAGTTATCAGAGGCCAGGCCGCACAGGGTGATCGTTTTTCCCAACAGATGTGATACTAATCAAACCAGTTTCACAGTAAAGCTGTCACGCTATTTTAGAGACAGAAACTTGGGGGAAGCGAGACTAACCTTGGATGAGATTCTCCAACTCCTGCATCTCTGAATCCGGCACTGGCACATCAGAAACGTTTTAGTCATTATGGGTCTTACCGACTCTGGCGGCAGGTGCTGAATGCCGTTTCCTCCTACACTGTTTGAATTTTCTTGGGAAACCAGATCCAGTGAATTTTAATGAACTGGGTTGCCTGTTGCTGAGATTTCTCATTTTTAAGTGCCTGATCTGGGAAAGAAGGGGAGAAAAGATTACATTTTATCCAAAGGTACATTATAAAAATATGTTTTTTACCCCAAAAGATGTTTACCCACATGTCTGTCAGTGTCACATGGACAAGGGCCAGCAGGGTTCGTTCGACAAGTGGCTATTGGCCTGTGTCTGTGATGATCAGGTTAGAGCACGGATCCCGCGCAGCCACAATGTGACCACGGCCGCACGCCAGCCTGAGGAGGCCGGTGGGACAGGTAAACCAGGCTGTCTCCAGGTTTTGTATTTATTCGAATAAAAGTGCAAACAACAAACCATAAGGCTCGTATGTCTTTAGCTTGGAGCTCTTGAGACCCTGACGATACGGAGGTGCCCTGGGAGGAGATGACCCTGTGGGCTGTGGTCAGCCCAGACTTTGCTGGTTCCAGACGAGCAGGTGGGGGTGGGAGGGGAGCAGGGCTCCAGGTGGAAGGAGTGAGGGGAGTCTTGAGGTCAGCGGGGCTCCTGCCTTTCCTGTATTGGAGTGGGTGAGGAGTTCTCTGTAGCCCAAAGGAAGGACCTCCGGGGTGGGGGATTCGGCTCCAGGGCCAAGAGCGCACACATCCAGAACTGACCGCCATGGCCGCACACGCGCTCTGCCTCAGGCCAGAGAGAAGTATTGTTCACACTTGCCTGATGAAGGAGTCCTGGTCTGACGGACTCCAGACCCCGTGCTCTTCCCCCCAAAGCCGCCTGTGTGTGGCGTGCCCGGCAGGGACCGCAGGGCCCTTTCAGCATTGGGCTCTGTGGTGGCACCATAGAGCATCGTGTTGTTTGTGACTTAGCGATGGTCTCCATCCTCTGGAGCAGGCTGGGCTGCCGTGGTGCTGTCATGTGATCTCAGCATATCACACTTAGGAAGCGCGGGACTTCCTGTCCAAGAGCTCGCTGGTGCTGCTGGTTTCCAGACCGCTCTATCTGTTTGCAGAACTCAGAGACACCCTGTGATGTGCCGAGTCGTGTCTTCAGCCAGCTTCCCGGTCTTAACCTCGAGAAGACCGGGTTCCACAAGAAACCACGTGTCCTACGTCAGCGAAGTTTCTGTTTGCTCTTGAATGGGGGACACCTGCTCGTGCACATGTTTGTGTCCTGTTTCAGCCAGTTCTCTAGACGTCCGAAGAAATCTCCAGAGCCAGTACGCAGCAGACAAAGTGCTTGCCCCAAGTTCTTGATGTCTGAAGGCCCCCAAGTAATTTTGGGAATTGATGAAAAGTGATCGTTTCCTCAAGACCTCTTTGTTCTTGTTGTTGTTCCAAATGAACAATATTGATATATTTTCAGGGCAAGTAAATCAAAGATGATATTCCCTTTGGATTTTTTATTTTTATGAATGTGGCTCAAGAGTATCACCTTATTTAAAAGAGTCTACTCGATACCAGATGGTTGAAAATTGTTTACAGATAACATGGCAAGAGAAAAATGCAACAAATCCTGTTATGCAGGTGTGTATTATGTTTTACTTACGGTTTTAGGCATGAGCGGGTGGGTCTCTGATTAGCCCAACACTGACACTAAGACTGATTTGTAAATAATCACAGTGGAACCACTGAGTAGTGTAGCTTTGGGAATCCTTCATTCTCAGCCATCGTTTAAAACATCCAGACGCGCCTGGGTGGCTCCGTCAGTTGAGCATCCGACTTCGGCTCAGGTCATGATCTCGCGGTTTGGGAGTGTGAGCCCCACATCGGGGTCTCTGCTGTCATCACGGAGCCCATTTCAAATCCTCTGTCCCCCTCTCTCTCTGCCCCTCCCCTGTTGGCTCTCTCTCTCAAAATAAATAAATAAAACTTAAAAAAAAAATCCAGTCACTGAGGCACCTAGATGGCTCAGTCAAGTGTCCAACTCTTGATTTCAGCCCAGATCATGGTCTCAGATGGTCTCGAACCCTGTGTCGGGCTCTGTGCTAACAGCTCAGAGCCTGGATCCTGCTTCTGATTCTGTATCTCCCTCCTCTCTCTGCCCCTCCCCCACTCATGCTCTGTCTCTGTCTCTGTCTCTCTCTCTTTCAAAAATAAATACTAAAAAATTCTTTTAATAAAAAATAAAAATAAAAAACTTAGACATTGAATTAGATTGAACCAGGTAGAAAAGCCTGCAGGTCAAAAATGATCAAATACGGCCATTTTATATAGTTCAACCTAATATTAAATGTAACGTTCATGAGACAAGTAGGTGATATTTCCTGAATTATTTTAACAAAGTTTAGATTAGATGATCAATTATTTTCTAGGACTATTCTATATTCCCCCCCAGTGGACTTCCAAAACAAGTGGGAGAGACCAGTGTGAAACTCGGCGAGCCTGTGCCCACTCAGTGCTTGGCCTCCGCTGTTGCCAGGGACACACAGGAGCCATTCAGTCTCTCGCCCTCCATCAGGAGCCACGATTAGCACATGTTCTTAACTAATGCTGGAAGCCTAATTCTCAGCACTGTGACTCACTGAATTCTAAATGTCCTTCAAAACTCAGCTCTGATTCCTTGGAACAGAATATGTTAACTGTAGTTAAATTCAGCTACCTGACTACACAGCCCAAGAAGATGGAGGGGTGTCACAGGCTGGATTCATGTGCTGAAGTGCCCACCCCCAAACCTCCCGAATGTGACTTTATTTGGAGATGGAGCCTTTACTGAAGTGATTAAAGTAACATGAGGTCATATGTGTGGGCCTGAAGACAGTGTGACTGGTGTCCTTATAAGAAGAGGAAATGAGGACCCAGACGCACACAGACAGATGACCCACGTGAGGACACAGGGAAGATGGTGTCTACACGGCAGGAGGGAGGCCTCAGGGGAGACCACTGAGTGAGGGAGGGAGATTGCCCACACCTGCATCCCGAATTCCAGCCTCTAGGACTGTGACAGGATGGTCTCTGTTGTTTAAGCCGCCGTCTCTGTGGTCTTTGTTACACAGCCCAAGCTGACCAGTATACTCGATGCTCCCACTGCACCTCGTGTGTGTTTCTTCATCCCGTTACCTCAGGCGGCACATGGCTTGGTTTTGCTGGTGTCTCCACTTTATATAGATTGAAGAATGCAGTGTATTGTCCCGTGACTTGCTGATTTTGTTCAACATGCTCCTCAAGTTTATCTGTGTTGATGTGTGATGCTACAGCTGCGTGGCAGCCCGCTGTGTGGACACCCCACGCTTCATTCCTCTGGCCTGGAGTGGACACTTGGATGGTTTATATTTGTGCACAAATACAAGCACTTGGGGCCCAGTTGGAAGTCTTTCTGGGCTGTGGAGTTTTGAGTGGAATTTACGGGCTGTAAGGCACACATGGTTTCCTACGCAGTGACAAAGTGTTTCTAAAAACGATAGCGTCCGCTTATGAACGTTCCCATTGCTCGGTGGCCTTGTCGACACTTAGTACTGGCTGCGTTCCTGGTTTTTGCCAGACTCGGCAGGTGTGAGTTATGTTATCACGTGTTATGGGCTGTTTGTAGTTCCTCTCAAGTGCTAGTGCACGTATGTGAGTGTCTCCTACAACATTTAAACACATGGTGCTCTGCCTGTCAGTGTTCTTTCTTCTCCTCCATGATCCTGCCACACCCTGTGTGCCTGGCACACAGAAGGGATCAGCATATGTGGGTAAAAGGAAGAATAGGGTAGCAGACAGGAGGGGAGCACAGTGCCCCTCAGACCAGGAACAACCCAGGGAGGGCTGCCCCTAGCCTTGCCCACGCTGTGCTGGCAGATCTGGCTGTTGTGATCAGGTAGGGAAAAGAAATACGAGGCATTCAGAGGGAAAAGTAAAACTGTTTTTATTCTCAGACGTGATCCATGTAAACAACATGGTGGGATCTGTGGAAACAGCTGTGGGAACGTTCCGCGAGTTCAGTGAAGCAGACGGGTGCCAGATTGGTTCAGGAAAGCCACTGCATCTCTGTGCACTGGCAGCGAAGCACCTGACCTAGAACAGTGACAGGGACCTGAGCATCAAATGCCGACAGATGAATCGGACAGAAAAGTGAGCCACCTGTTGTGTCCGTCTCCCAGCGCCACAACAGCACATCATCACAAGCCGGGAGCTCGCGGCAACAGAAACTTGTTCTGGCTCCGACAGCTCTGGAGGCCAGGCGTCTGAAATCAAGGTGTTGATGGGGCATGCTCCTTCCAGAGGCTCTAGGGGAGTGTCCTTCCTGCCTCTTTCAGTATCTACCAGCCACAGGTGTCCCATGGCGTTTCGTGGCTTATGGCCACATCATGCCCATCTGTGCCTCCATCTTCACACTGCCTTCTCCTTTTTCTCTGTCCTCTGTGGAGCTCTTACAAGGACTGTTGTCAATGGATTTAGGCCCATCAGGATAGCCTAGGATGATCTCCTCATTCCAAGACCTTCGAGTACAACTGCAAAGATCTTTGTTTCCAAATAAACTCATGTTCTCAGGCTCCGGGGACTAGGACATGGACATAATGGGGGGTCAGGGTGAGTGGCATGATTCAACTCACTACACCTGCACACTGAAAACTACAGAATATTTCCAAGAGAAACTTCAACAGACCAAAAACAATGGAGATACACCTGTTTGTGAGTTGGAGGACTCAAGATTGTTAATATGTCCATTCCATCCAGGTTGATCTCTAGATTCCATACAATCCTAATCAAAGCCCAAGCTAGGTTTTCTTGTAGAAATTGACAAACTGATTCTGAAATTCACATGGGAAGGCAAAGGACCTAAACAGCCAAAAGAACTTTGGAAAATAACAAAGTTAGCAGGCTAACACTAACTGATTCAAGAATTATCATAAAGCTGCACTAACCAAAACTGTGTGGTGCTCATATAAAGATAGGTAGTTACATCAATGGAATAACGTAGTCCGGATTGAGACCCACAGGCACATGGACACCTGAGTTTTGACAAAGGTGAAAAGGCAATGCAGAGAAAGGACAGGCTCTTAACAAAGGGTGCTGGAACAATTGGGTATTTATATGCAAAACAACAATTTGGGGGAAAAAAAAAAAAAAAAACCTTGGGGGCACCTGGGTGGATGAGTCAGTTAAGCACCAGACTTCGGCTCAGGTCATGATCTCACTGTTCATGGGTTAAAGCCCTGCGTCGCTCTGTGCTGACAGCTCAGGGCCTGGAACCTGCTTCGGATTCTGTGTCTCCCTCTCTCTGCCCCTCCCCAACTCATGCTCAAAATAAAATAAACTTTCAAACATAAACATTAAAAAAAATTTAACATTGGATCCATACTTTGCATTATCTACAAAAATCAACTTTTGTCTTTTTTTTTTTTTTTTTAAGTTTATTAGAGAGCGTGTGCACGAACAGGGGAGGGGCAGAGAGAGAGAAAATCTCAAACAGGCTGCACCCTGTCAGCGCAGAGCCTAATGCGGGGCTCAATCCCATGAACCATGAGATCATGACCTGAGCTGAAATCAAGAGTCAGATGCTTAACTGACTGAGCTACCCAGGCACCCCTTAGAAAAATCAACTTTTAAGTGTAAAATCTAAAACTATAAACTTCCTAAGAGAAGATCTGTGATCTTAGGTTAATCAGAGATTTGGTGAATACAACAGCTAAACTACAAACCATTAAAGAATAAGTTGATAGATTAGACTATACCAAATTAAAAACTTCTCTTCAAAAGGCACTGTTAAGAAAATGAAAAGACCAAGCCTATAGACTAGGAGAGACTCTGCAAAGCATATATCTGATGAAGGACCATCTGAAACCTCTCAAAATGCAACAAGGTAAAAGAAAATAGTCCAAAGTTATAAAAGTGCTAAAGATTTGAATACGCCACCAAAAATACATAATTGGCAAATAAGTCAATGAAAAGGTGCTAAGTTTATTAGTCATAGAAAGGCAAATGAATCTGTACAGCAAAGGAAACAACCAACAAAAACTAAAAGGCAGCCAATGGAATGGGAGAAATATTTGCAAACGACCTATCGGATAAAAGGTTAGTATCCAAAATCTATAAAGAACATGTCAAACTCAACACCCAAAAACCAAATAACCCACTTAAGAAATGGACAGAAGATATAAATAGACATTTTCCAAAGAAGACATCCAGATGGCCAACAGACACATGAAAAGACGCTCAACATCAGTCATCATTAGGGAAACACAAATCAAAACCACAGTGAGATAACCACCTCACACCATCAGAATGGCTAAAATTAACAACTCAAGAAATAACAGGTGTTGGTGAGGATGTGGAGAAGGGGGAACCCTCTTGCACTGTTGGTGGGAATGCAAACTGGTGCAGCTGCTCTGGAGAACAGTATGGAGGTTCCTCAAGAAACTAAAAATAGAAGTACCGTATGACTCAGCAATAATACTACTAGGTATTTATCCAAAGGATACAAAAGTACAGATTCGAAGGCGCACGTTGCACCCCAGTGTTTAGAGCAGCACTATCAACAATAGCTGAACTATGGAAAGAGCCAAATGTCCATTGACTGATGAATGGATAAAGAAGATGTGGTTTGGGGCGCCTGGGTGGCGCAGTCGGTTAAGCGCCCGACTTCAGCCAGGTCACGATCTCGCGGCCCGCAAGTTCGAGCCCCGCGTCGGGCTCTGGGCTGATGGCTCGGAGCCTGGAGCCTGTTTCCGATTCTGTGTCTCCCTCTCTCTCTGCCCCTCCCCCGTTCATGCTCTGTCTCTCTCTGTCCCAAAAATAAATAAACGTTGAAAAAAAAAAAATTAAAAAAAAAAAAAGAAGATGTGGTTTATATGCACAATGAAGTATTACTCAGCCGTCAAAAAGAATGAAATCTTTTCATTTGCAATAACATGGATGAGGCTAGAATGTATTATTTCTATTTTTTTTAATTTTTTTTTTCAACGTTTATTTATTTTTGGGACAGAGAGAGACAGAGCATGAACGGGGGAGGGGCAGAGAGAGAGGGAGACACAGAATCGGAAACAGGCTCCAGGCTCCGAGCCATCAGCCCAGAGCCCGACGCGGGGCTCGAACTCCCGGACCGCGAGATCGTGACCTGGCTGAAGTCGGACGCTTAACCGACTGCGCCACCCAGGCGCCCCTAGAATGTATTATTTCTGTTATGTTCACCTAGTGAAATAGAGAAAGACCTATGATTTCATTCATGTGAAATTTAAGAAACAAATGGGGAAAGTGGGGGAAAGGCAAACCAAGAAACAGACTCTTAACTATAGCGAACAAACATGGTTACCAGAGGGGAGGTGGGTAGGGGATGGGCTAGATGGATGATGGGGATTAAGGAGGGCATGTGTGATGAACGCCGGGTGTTGTTATGGAAGTGCTGAATCTCACCACATTGTACACCTGAATGTAATATTACACCGTATGTTACGTAACTGGAGTGAAATAATAGCAATGTGAGTGACAGCCACAGTGAGGGGGCCCTGCACACCCCGTAACATGCTGAAATGAGCAAGACCACACCAAGTGTGGGTAGCTGGGGAGAAAGGGGAACCCACGTACACTGTAGCAGGGACACAAAACGGCATACACTTTGGAAAGCAGTTTGGGAGTGGCTTCAGAAATGAAACGGGTACCCACCGTGTGATCCAGCCATGCCATTCCTAGGCATTTGTCCCCGGGAACAAAATGTACACGTCCCTGCAGACACCTGCACAGGCGTCCCCGCAGACGATGTGCAGCAGCTCTGTTGGGAACACCACACCCTGGAAACAGCACACTTGTCCATGAGCAGGTAAATGGAAAACGCCACGGTGGTAGAGCCACACGAGGAGTGCCACGCGGCAGGAAAGGTGCGTGAACTATCAGTGACTCACAGCGGGAATGACTCACGGCGCCGAGTGGAAGAAGCCTGACAACAGGAGTTCGCACCGTGTGCGATCCCGTGTACATCAAAGTAGGAGATCCAGAGTAACCTGTGGTGACCGGGCACGGATTCGGCTGCCCCGGGGAAGAGATGCACTCACAACGGGGACTGTGGTGTCGGTTTCACGGGTGCGTTCGTGTCACATGTTCCCCAGGTGCGCTGTTTACACTGATCTTCCCTCAGTGAGGCTCCTACAGAAAATACAGAAAATAGGCCGTATTTGTCAGAGGAGGGAGGAGCGTTGGAGCGGCCACGTGAGTGTTCTCTGGGAGGGACCGAGACATTCTGTTCCAGGCACGCTGGGGCTGCAGCTGCATTTGAACGTGGACAACACGCGTGTGCCCACGTCGTGGCTGTGCTGCTCTTCAGAGTTACAAGGAAACAGGCAGCTCGAATGCTCCGGGAGCCTCCGTGGGTGGCAACGTTTGTGCAGCCAGAGCTTTGTTTCCACAACCTGAACCCTTTACATGAATTGAAACGCATTTCTGATTTTAAATGTTCCCCGCCCCGGGGATTTCTGAGGGATGATTTGGGAAAATCTGCTTGTGAGCAGATGTCCCGCATTCCCTGCTCAGTTCTGTCCCTGAACATTACTTGGGAAGAGTGAAACGCTGTTTTTCTGGACTCTGACTCACGCGGGGATTTTGTGGCCACCGCCCATTCGGAGCAGGGCCTCCCCCACCACACGCCTGTCTTCCTGCTTCGGGAGATTCAGCCGCGCTAGGCACGCGGCTATCTCTTCAGCAGTTGAGAGCTTTGACAACTGGCATTCGCAAACTAACCCGACGACACAGAACCCTCGAGTGAGTTACTCACAGAGTTTCAGAAAGGGTTGGGCCTGTCGCCTCCCGCGAGGGCGCCGCTGCTGTGCCCGGAAGTCATCCCCCGGGAATTCTGACAGATCCTGGCCGCCACCCCGGGCCTGTGAGTCATGAAGAAACCCCGTGTGCAAAATAAACCCTTGGCAAACAAGAAATGGCTCTTTGGAGAGTGTGTGTCCGCACCAACAAAGAGGAAGCTGAATGAAACACGGGACTCCGTACATCCTTCACCCCTGGAGGCGCTCATTCCGGCCTCGCTGCGGCACCTTGTGGCCCTGGCCCCAGGGACAAGGACGCACAGCAAGTCCCTCCGAGGAGGCAGGACAGGCTGTCGCCCCTCGGGGCCCTCACAACCAAATTCCTCCGGGAGGAGGGAGGACGCGGGCTCAGCCTACGGAAAGTCCGAAAATTCCGGACAAAGGAGCAGTGTGCCGGGCTGCTTCCGGCCCGTTGTTCTGAGGCCAAACCCTTCTTTGTCCCGGGTCGCTCTGGTGCCACATTGCAAAGAGCCACCCCCCAGCCCCCAGTGTTAAATCCACAGACACAGGTGGGCGAGAAACGGCACAACCTTTACTGTCTTTCTTCGGTGCAGACTCCAGGTCCCCGTTTCCCCCAGGCTGTGTCTGAGATGTCAGGCCAGCCCGGGTCCTCGGTGCCCCCTCCCGGCTGCCACAGTGGGCCCGGCAGGCCTGGAATGCGCGCACGTCTCTCCTGAAGATACAGAAGTGTGCCCCGAAGGGGCCGCGTCTGCCATCAGGGATCTGACCCTGAGCCCAAGGCCGCCCGAGGAGGAGGAGGAGGAGGAGGCCGGGTCAGGGCCCCTGGTCACTCCTGGGAGAGGGAGGAGGCTTGCTGAGGCGGTTCGGGCCCGGAGCGCAGACAGGGTGACCAGGAAGAGACGGAGCACCGGGCCGGGTCCCTCCCCGGCTCCCAGGACCACGCTTGTCTGGAGGGCCCCTCCCCACCGTCCCCCAGAGCGGCCCAGGGTCCGGCCTCTCCTCAGCCGCCACCCTGCTCCCCAGGGGCTGCTTATTTCAAAGTCGGGTTTATTGACAGAGTGGAGTCAGACGCTCCACTTTCCACATTCTGCCCCCGCAGTGCAGGTTCCCTGCTGTCCCACGCAGCCACCGCTCTGTCCTCTGGGTTTGCCGCCTCAGCGGGCCTCTGTTGGCTGGCCCAGATGCGCCCTCACTGTCCTGTGTGTCAGGCTGTGGCTCCGGAGGTCCCGCCATGTGGACAGGCCACGGCACGTGGGTCCCTTCTCCCACGGACGCTCGGGCTGTGAATAAGGACGTGATGCGCCCGTGGGCTCTCCCGTGGGCTCAGCCCTGATTTCTGTTGGTGAAAAGCCAGGGACAGGCCTAGGCTGCCCTCCAGAGACTGTGCCTCGCCCCTCGCCCCTGCCCACACCCACCATCTGTTCTGCTCCGGCTCCCGGGTGGTGGTCTTTGCGCTCCAAGTCCCACGGGCTCTTGGGGGCCCAGGACCCCCCCCCTCTGAGCCCCCCCCTGCTCCGTTTCCCCCCCCCCCCGGGGGCCCCCCCCCCCTCTGCACAGCCTCCCGGGCCCCAGGCCAGGTGCCCTCCCTGGGCCAGTTCTGCTGGGACAGCACTCACCTCCACAGCCGAGTCTGGGGGCTGCGTGTTGGTGCCCCCACCAGACTGCAGGTGCTTGGAAGGCAGGGCGGCTTTCAACTGAAACCAGACTCCCAGACCCAGGGGCACCTGGCCCTGCAGTGGTGTCCTAGGAGGACACAGAGGAAAGGGGCCCGTGTAGAGAAGGCAGAGGCCGTGAGCCCGCAAGGTGGCTGTGACCGTCGTTTGGACAGGCAGCGCCGCAGGCCCCACGCGGCCGTCACGTGGCCCTGGCATGTCCGGTTCTCAGCCTGTGCTTGTCGGATGGAGGCTGAGGGCACACGGTGGGTCTGGTTCCGTTCTCCCTGCTGCCCGTGGTCTCCTAAGCGCGTCTAGGAGTGCGAGGAAGCCGTGCGTCTCGCCAGGAGTGCTCACGTCTGCAGGACCTCGTTAGTGAGCCCATCGGGAGGGGAGTGTAGGGAGAGCCGCTCCCCGGGTGTGGAGACACCCGAGAGGGGATGTGGCAGCTGCCTGGCCCGGCCTCGTGCTGCCCACGCCCCAGCTTGAGGCTGCCTGATCTCCGGAGCCACCCGCAGCCAGCTGGACGCATACACCTGCAGACACAGTGCCACGCCGAGGCTGTCATATGCAGGAGGACAGGGCTGCACGGGACCCCAGACACGCCCCGCACCCACAGCCCCTCCAGCCGGAAGCAGCTGACGGTGCCCACGAGGTGGGCTGGGCTCCAGCTGTCCATCTGCTGCATTCGAGAGGCCAGCAGACTTTCGGGACAGAGCTGGACAGAACACATGGTCTCCGTGACTACTGTGTGTTTGTGTTTCTGTCAGTTTTCTTCCTTCCCGCCTCTTCACGTAAAACCCACTGGCGTCTGGTGAGCTGTACACGGAGAAGCTGCGGCTGGCACCCCGGGCGTCTGTGCAAATGCCCCTGTTCCTGGCGTGAGGAAAGCCTGGCGTGTGCATCGTGATGGGTCTCACGGGGCTGTGTCCGCGCCTGTTCTAGAAGCAGGGCGGGCGGGCGGGCGCTGCTGCGGCCGTGGAGGCTCTTGGGAACATGCTGTCCCGCTCCCACAAGCAGCGTCCTGGCCCGTCCCCGCGTCTCTCGCTGCAGCCACGCCGGCGGGCGGTTCTGTGCCGTGTGCCGGACGGTGGAAGAGGTCCGGGGCCCTCTGCTGAGGTGGCAGGTTTCTCTCCGGTCAGCACACGTGGGTCAGAACCTGCCCCACGTCGGGACTGGGGACACGGGCCGGCCAGTGGCAGCCTCAGAGGAGGGGGGACCCAGGCCGGGAGCCACGGGGGGTCGTGCCCTGGGGCTTCACTCTGTGGGCACCTGCACCCCGGCCCAGAGATGCACACGCGGGGCGCCCCCCCAGCAGAGGCGGTGAGCTGGGAGGGTCCTCAGAGCAGGGCCGACACGGGTGGAGAGGGCATTCCGGGATGAGGGAGGGGTGTTGGGGCTGGTGTGTATGCAGGTGAGAGACTCCAGTGGAGCAGAGGGGATGTGGCCCCGGGAGGGCTCTGCCTTTTGTCCCAGGGGCAGTGGGGGCCAGCAGTGTGGACCTGGAAACCGTTTCCACACCACACATCCTGTGGGACCTAATCTTGGGTGGTGTCTCCCCGAGCTGGAGGGCAGGAGCCACGACTGGAGCTCACCCAGGCCCCTTGGCTATTTGTGGAGGGAAGGAAGGAAGGAACGCAGACTGGACGGATCACGGGACGAGGGAAGCCACTCGGGCCCAGTGGGAAGCAGGGTGGCGGACGGCAGAAGGGCCAGGCCCACGCCCACCATGGTCCTCAGTTCAACACGGAGGGCCAGTGATGGGGCCGCAGTTCAGAAGCACCAGATGCTTGGATTTATTATGCTTTTCATTTTGCAACTTGGAATTTTCACATATTTGTCTATTTGTTTTAAAGTCATGTCAGAGGAACACACCAGGTTGAAAGGATCAACCTTAGGAAAGGTCGATGGGAATGCAAGCTGGTGCAGCCACTCTGGAAAACAGGATGGAGGTTCCTCAAAAAACTAAAAATAGAACTACCCTACGACCCAGCAATTGCGCTACTAGGCATTTATCCGCGGGATACAGGTGTGCTGTTTCGAAGGGACACGTGCGCCCCCATGTTTATAGCAGCACTATCAACAATAGCCAAAGTATGGAAAGAGCCCAAATGTCCATCGATGGATGAATGGATAAAGAAGATGTGGTCTGTATATACAATGGAGTATTACTCGGCAATCAAAAAGAATGAAATCTTGCCATTTGCAACTACGTGGATGGAACTGGAGGGTATTAAGCTAAGTGAAAGTCATTCAGAGAAAGACAAAAATCATATGACTTCACTCATATGAGGACTTTAAGAGACAAAACAGGTGAGCAGAAGGGAAGGGAAACAAAAATAATACAAAAACAGGGAGGGGGACAAAACAGAAGAAATTTTTAAATATGGAGAACAAACAGGGTTACTGGAGGGGTTGTGGGAGGGGGGATGGGCTAAATGGGTCAGGGCACTAAGGAATCTACCCCTGAAATCATTGTTGCACATATGCTAACTAATTTGGATGTAAATTAAAATTAAATTAAATTAAAAATAAATAAATAAATAAATAAAGGAAAGATCGAGAGGAAAAGCCGCGGCCTCTGCTCCATCTCCCCTGCCCCAGGCTCCCAGGGACAGGCCCTCAGAACTTGTTCTAGAGAGTTCTTCCTGTGGTGGCCTCACAGCGCTAAATAAGAGGCTCATCCTGCCTGTTTCTTTACTGCCAGCCACGGACATGGCTGGTGTTCACTTCACGCCACCCCTGGTCTCCCCAGTGTGGTTCTAAGTCACACACTTAAACGTAGGGATGAGAGAC